ACTTCTCGAACGCCGTCGAGAACAACCCGCACGCGCTCACGCGCGCCGTGAACCAATCTCCCCGCGCCAATCGCTCGATTAACGGCACGAAGTACTTCCCAATTCCCCCGGACGACATCGCTCGCCCCACCGCGCACGCAGTCTCCACCGCTTTGTCTCGCACCACAGTCTCCTCCACCGTGATCAACGTCTCGAGCGGCGCCAACAACACGTGCGCGTGCTCTTGTCCACCCACGACATCGATCAGGTTCGCCAGTTCCCCCGCGATCGCCAACAAACACTCATCGTCCTCATCGTCCCTCTCCGTGAGAAACGGCACGAGTTCACTTCGCGCTCTGTCCGCGCCGAGCGCGCGCGCGATCGTCGGCAGTTTCGCGATCGACTTCAATCGCAGCTCCACGTCGTCGCTCTGCGTCGCCGAGTCATCGCGCGCGATCCACCGTCAGTCGTGCACGCGATACAAACCCCCTCGGCGTCCAATCTCCCCTCGCGCGCGCGCGGTCGCGCGAACTCGACCGACATCGCGCGATCCCTCGTCCACGCGCATCGCCGCCACCTCGCCCCCGTCGACGCACCGTGAGATCATCGATCAGGGCCCCGACGGAGATATCGCGTCCCTCGTCCTCGCCGCGCGCGCTCGGCGCGCTCGACATCGCGCGCGAAGAGTGCGGCGTCGCTCGATGAACCGCGAGCGGGTCGACGACCGCGACGCAAACGCCACACGCGCGCGCGCGCGCTCGATCGACGATGAACCAACCGTCCAGGGCCGATCGTTTCGTCCTCCCGGACGGCGAGCGCAAGGTGACGTACGAGCGGGACACCAAGGTGGAGAACGCGGGGACGTTTGTGATTCAGCGCGAGGATCACACGCTCGCGAATCTGCTTCGAATGTGCGTCGTGTGCGCGCGCTCGCGCGACCGATGGACGCGACCGACGGGCGTGAACGATGGGTGCGCGTGATGACGGACGACTGACCGCTCGAGGATGGAAACGCGCGAATAGGGAGCTGCATAAGAACCCGGACGTCGTCTTCGCGGGGTACAAGAACCCGCACCCGACGGATCACCGCGTGATACTGAAAGTGCACACGAACGCGAACACGACCCCGGTGCAGGCGCTGAGGGACGCGGTGACGAATCTTCGCGCCGAGGTGAGCGACATCGCGCAGCAGTTCGCGGACGAGATCAACGCGATTCGGCGCCAGTGAGGAGGCGGCGGCCGGGCGCGGCGGGCGCGCGCGCGGGACGCGCGCTTCGTAGGACGTGTGTTTGGAATAAGTAAAAGTAGAAGCATAGCCAACGAGCGGTGGTTCCGTGCGATCGCCTCGACGCGCGATCGCGCGTCGACGGAGACCGATCGACGCCTTCGTCGCCGCGCGTCCTTCGTCCGGCGCGCGTGGAATAGCCTAAACACACGCACGGGGTAAAAAATCGTCGAATACGTCGGACAATTGAGACGATTCGTTTCCCGCGAAAAATAGTGTGTAGTATCATGCGTTTTAACGCCATCTAGAAGCACGACTAAACTTTGACTGCGAGACCGCGGTCCCGTTTAAGTTTAAATCGCACATCGCCCGCGCCGAAGACGTCGACGCGCGTCACGCACGAGCGTGCTCCGACGCCGCGTCCTCGCGCGTTCGAAGGCATAATTTAGCGCGCGTCGTCGCGCGCGATGTCGCTCGCGTCCGTGACCGCGATCGCCGCGCGCGCGCCGATGCGCAATCGCGCGCGTGGGTCGCGCGCGAGCGGGTCGCGCGCGCGCGTCTCGACGACGACGCGCGCGACGCGCGCGACGCACGTGAAACCAGCGCTGGAGATTGGATCGCAAGGCGCCGATGTCGCGCGGTTACAACAGAGACTGATGGACGAGGGAATCGTCGACGTCGGGACGGCTGAAGGGTGCGTTTGTCCGTTTGGAATTTTTGAATTCATGTGGCAACCCTGGAGCTTTTGTTCGCGTTCGACGCGTTTTCGTGTGCACGAAAAGTGCAGGGCGGTATAAAAAGCACATTCGTGTGATGGATGCGCGTGCTCGAATGTGTACGGTGACTGGTGACTGACTTTCTTGTCGCGCACGCAGAACCTTTGACGAGCGCACAGCTGAGGCAGTGAAGACGCTGCAGACGCGGTACGGTATGCCGGCGAACGGGCAGTGGGGGGCGTTGGAGCGCATGATGTTCGAAGAAGTGGGGATTCACACGGATGCGCCGCGAATGGAGGCTTTGGCGCCAGCCCCTATGCGGAGTGCGAACACGCACATCATCGCACCTGCGGATTTTACGAGAGGCCAGGTGAAGAGCATCGTGGGATCCGCAGCGACGGGAGCGGCACTCGGTTTGGGCGTCGCGCTAGCGATTCGCGCCGCCGATAACGCGTTACGGGGTGGCTCGGCGAGGGATTTCGTCGAAGACACCGCGGACGGCATCCGCGGTTTTGTCGGCAAATTCAAGCAACGCGGTCGTCAAGGTAGGTACGAGCGTGACATGATGGCGTACGAGGATGACGGCGAAGAACCGGACGATCGATGGGGCTACGACGGGCGCGGTGACGGTGGGCAAGGGAGGGATCCGAGAGGACCATTGCCGGACGGGTTGCCGCCAGGCGCGAGTGAGTCGTACTACGGTTTGGACGCGCAGTATCAAACCGCGCGCACACGGAGGCTCTTGAGGGGAGCCATGCCCGCAGCGGCTCAGAGCGAACCTGTGAGACAAAAGCAGCAAATGCGTCGATCTGGTGGAGGGACGCCGAGGGCGACGGCGGCGAGCATGGATCTTCAGCGACAACAGCAAGTCTTAGTGAACTCGCAGTTCGAAGTCGAGCTCGAGGCTGAAGTCGCCGTCGGTGCTTCTTCTCGACCTATGACTACCATGATGCAGCGCGTGAGAGAGAAATTCGACGCTAGCTTAGACGCTATCGGCGATGTGATTCCGGATGGCATTCCTCTCCTTGGTGGAGGGAGCGATTTCACTGCACGAGCGCAACGCGAGCGAGATTTGAACGCTCGACTCGCAGAGGCTCGGTATTACGCAGAGTTGGAGCAACAAAAGCGAATCAAGGCGGAGCAAGCTTTCAAACAGAGCCACCAAAAGTGGCTCGATGCTCAGGCTGCCACGCGTCAAGTTCGCGCTCAGGCGACGGAAACGGCTACAAAGTTGGTTGAGCTTGAGGAGCGATTGTTCCGCGAGGACATCTTCGACAACCACCCCGTCGTAAGCAAGGTAACGGAACTGGAAAACTTGGTCTTGCGAGACGTCGAAGAAGAGAAAACGGCAGATCAGCTTAAGAATGAGCTCGCGAGACTCGAGATGAACGCCATGCAGAGAGTGAAGGAGCTGGAGAATCAAGTGAACGACTTGCAGCTCGAGCTCGAGACGCGTCCCAGTGTTCCTCAAGCTTTGGTCGCCAGGTTGGAAGCCTTGGAAAGTGCGATGGTGAGCGGCTCGTCTTACAAAGCCGACGGGTCCACAGAGAGCGCATCCAGTTTACAAGAAAATATCGCCAGTGTTGGTGATGCGTTTGCAGAAGTTCGAGACAGTTTGCGAGTAGAGATGCAGAAAGTTCAAAGCGAGCTTCAAAGCATCCACCCGCTCATGGATCACGGTGCAGGGCGTATCGACATTCTTTTCGCGAAGGTCACTGCTCTGGAGTCTTCCATGGACGCCGTCAGCGAAGGTGCGGCGTCTCAGATCGGTCGTTTGGCGGCACAAATTGACAGGTTGGAGAAGGCGCTCGCCGAGAGCGCCGGTGTCGAGTTGAAACCATTCCCGCAGGTGCGCGACCTCGAGGAGAGTGAGCCGATGACAGATGATTTCACCGAGGAGACGGTGAAGTTTATCGAAGACGTCATGGTCCCGGTTGAAGAAGTCGAGGAAGAGGTTGAGGATGAGTTGTTTGGCGATGCAAGCAGCAGCGTTGATGAGAGCGCAACAGACTTCATGCAGCTGTTCACAGAGTCCCAGGTCGTTACGGATGCGATACCGGTTGCTGAGCCCTTCGTCGAACCTGCCCCGGTTGAGGAAGAACATGATATCGCCAGGGAGTCTGGCGTAATGCCACGCATCGCGATCGGACGAGAAGTCATGCTTCAAGGTTTCCACTGGGAGAGCCACAACCACGATTGGTACTCGATTGTCTCGGAAAGGCTTGAAGTCATGAACAGAGCAGGTTTCACGCAAGTTTGGCTGCCACCGCCGGCGGATTCGCTCGCGCCGCAAGGGTACATGCCCCGTCAACTCTATTCGCTGAACAGCAAGTACGGCTCGGAGGACGGGTTGCGAAACCTCATTTCAAACTGCAAGGAGCACGATGTCTTGCCGGTTCTTGACGCGGTGTTGAACCACCGCTGCGCCACGCACCAGGGAGCTGGGGGCAAGTGGAACCGCTGGGAAGGCACCGGCATGGATTGGGGCGAATGGGCGATCGACAATAGAAATCCGCAATTCGGGGGTATGGGTAACCACCCGACGGGAGACGAGTTCTCTGGCGCGCCGAACATCGATCACACCAACGATACAGTGCGTGAAGACTACTCAAAATGGCTCCGATGGTTGAAGGACGACGTCGGATTTGGCGGCGTTCGTTTTGACTTTTCAAAGGGTTACGATGGTCGATTCGCTGGGGAGTATATCAAGGCGATGGATCCGGAGTTCGCTGTGGGTGAGTACTGGGACACGCTTGCTTACGGCGCTGGTTTGGAATACGACCAAGACGCACACCGTCAGCGCATCGTGAACTGGATCGATGCGGCAGGAGGGAACACCACAGCGTTTGATTTCACCACCAAGGGCATTCTTCAAGAGGCTTGCGGTCGGTCCGAGTTCTGGCGCCTCATCGATAGCAAGGGACGCGCTCCCGGAGTTATTGGTTTATGGCCAGCACGAGCGGTGACGTTCATCGACAACCACGACACCGGTTCGACTCAGGGACACTGGCCCTTCCCGAACGATAAGGTCAGCATGGGTTATGCGTACATATTAACTCACCCTGGCACGCCGTGCGTTCTGTGGGATCACTTCTTCGATTGGGGTGAGCACTTGCGCGAGAACATCGAGACGTTGATGGATGTTCGTAAACGCTCAGGTATTCACAGCCGTAGTAAGCTTCAAATCGTTGCCGCGACCGACGGTTTGTACGCTGCCATTGTAGACGGTAAGGTAGCCGTCAAACTCGGCGGCGATAACTGGTCCCCCGCTGGCGATGGCTGGGAACGCGTTGCCGGCGACCACGACTGGTGCGTCTGGCAACGATGAAACAAGACAATGTCGCACCTCTCCGAGAAGCGCTGTATTTATTTAGCCACCACAAAGCACGCCGGTGATCGCCGCAGCTCGCGCTGAAAAGCGCGCAGGCGAACTGCTCACGTTGTAACGCTTCATACACCATGTGAAGTCCACCATTATCGCTCGCTACGCCGCGCGGTCGGTCAACGCCTTCGCTCTCCATGAGATATCCACCGCCTCAACCCTCAGTCCTCGACTCGCGAAGCGCGGCGTCGCCTCACCTCTGTTCGCCCGCGTACGACGAGGACGACCATGCGCGTCTTAACCATCACGCCGAGCGTGAACGCACGCGTAAACACGCGTCGTGACGGACAGAAACGTCGAACGTTCGCCGATGCCAGAAATAGTTCTCGATGCACTCGGGCGCCGCTTCTTCGGCGCGCGCTCGATCTCAGACGTGCTCGGTCGCTCGGAAAGACGCGGACGATCGCGATCGATGATGTGCCAGGACGAGAGCGCGGGGACGAGTCGCGAAAGAGCGCCGGGGACGTTGAGGCGAGAGCGAAGGCGTTGGCGGAGCTCGTGAAGAACAGCGACGTCGGGAACGCGATGTCGGTGGATGATCGAGAAACGGTGAACAAAGAGATCGAAGCGTTGGAAGCGACGCAGCTTAGTGATCGAACGTGCGAAAATGAGGGGATTTTTGGCTTTTACGACGTCAGTTACGTCTCGGTGGGGAAGAATCAGGTTGGGAATCCGGCGGGCGGACGGTTCAGGTCGCCGCTCGGGAGATTTTTGTTCAAGACGATCGGGTTGGAGCAAAATTTGTTCGCGCCGAATAGAATTGAGAATCGCGTGGCGTTCACCGTACTTGGGTGTCTACCGGGTGAGGTGACGTTGGAGGGAACGTTTGGAGCAGTGGACGGGCTCAACGACGGTCGCACGGTCAAAGCGGATTTCGATCCTCCGGGTATCTCCGTCGCTGGCGGTCCGAAATTGCGAATCGGACCGAAATCGAGCGTGGTTCTAAGCACGACGTACTTGGACGAAAGCGTGCGCCTGGGGAAGGGGTCACGCGGGAGTCTGTTTGTGTTCACGAGAAAGTCCACCGAGCAGCACGCGCGGGATCTTCGACGCTGGGGCGTCGGGGGCTTAGCGATCGCGATCATGCTTCTCACCGCCCTCGGGCTCGGGATTTTCGGCGTGCACCAGTTCAAGACGACGAAGAGCATCTTGTATCCCGCAACGGTCGTCGCGTCGTCTTTGATCTCGTTGTTGATGGCGTACGTCTTGCGCGACGGAGGCATTGTCGCCGAAGACGCCGACCTGGCGCAAGTGGGGGAGCTCACACAGGAGCAAAAGGATTTCCTCACCAAGGGGCGCAGTGATGGGCAAGCGAAAGGGGAAAACGTGTTCAGTTCGCAAACGTAGACTAAACGCTGTAATGAGCTCATAAGGCTTCCATTTCTGCGCTACCGATTCTAAAGACATATTACAAGCTATCCCGAAGTCACGCCTTCCCGGGTTTCATCAGGTCCAACGTGTCGCCGTCATCGAGATCGAAGTCCAGCGGCGTATCACCGCCACGAACGACGTCTCCATCGCAAATGACGCGTAGACCGGTGGCGTCGCCGAGGGCCAAGGTCACTAGCTCCCAATCCGCGCTCTTTCGCCACGCCTTGATGATGCGCTCAAACGTCCATCGTCGGCCCACGTAGCGATCAAACTTCTCCCCCGTGGGGAGCTGAAAGACCAGTTTCATCAAATCTTCGCCAACATCACCTTGGCAGAAATCGTCCTCCACCTCGTCGCCCTCGACGTCGCTGACCTCGCGTATGTCTTCCTCGTCGCTCCCGTCGTCTTCCACAACCTCTGCGACGCGTTCCGCCGGCACGTACGCCGGCACCGCCGGTCTCGCCAATTCATCGAACCCACTCAAAAGCGCTTGCGCCCGCGCCGCCGCACTCGTCTCTCCCTCCTTCACGCTCGACGGTACATCCACCGTTATCGATCGCTTATTCACTGGACTCTGCGTTGACGCAGACGCAGACGCGCGTTTCCCGCCTCGTCCGTCCCTCCCGGACGACAGTTCGCTCGGACGCTGCACGTCATCGTACGCGTTGACGTCGTCGTCGTCGTCATCCGCCTCTTTATCGCTCGCATCGCTCGAATCCGACCCGATACCGTCGAGTTTCAGAGGTGTAGTGAATTTCCTCACCTTGGCGTCGTCGTCGTCGCTCCACGCGACGTCCAGCTCCTTGGGGGCGCCGAACAGGTCGTCGTCATCGCTCGAGTCGTTGTCGTCGTCCGCCATCACGTGATACACGCGATCGTCGCCGCGAAGGTATTCACGCGACGCGCTCTGCGGTGGAACTGTTGATACAACGGGTTGATTCAAATCGCTTAGTTCATTTACATCGACTGCGCGTCTCATAAAAGCGTCTCTCGTCCACCTACGCCGCCCCCGACGCGCTGGAGCTCAGGATGATCCCCACGATCATCCCGTACAGGGCCAAAGCCTCGGCGAAGATGAGGATCAAGACCAACCCGACGAAGAGTTTCGGCTGTTGCGCGTTCGCCCGGACCCCCGCGTCGCCGACGATGCCGATGCACATGCCCGCGCTCAATCCACTCAAACCGCACGCCAGGCCGCTCCCCAAGTGCGCGTATCCTTGGAACAGGGTGTACGACTTCGGGTTTATCCCCGACGAGATCACGACCGCGATGATTAACCCGTAGATTCCGAGAATACCAGAGAACACCACCGGGAGGATCGACTTCATCACCAACTCGGGTCGCATGACCCCCATGGAGGCGATGCCGACGCCGGACTTTGCGGTTCCGTACGCGGCGCCCATGCACGAGAACACCAACGCGCTCGAGGCGCCCATGAACCCGAAGAAGGGCGCCACTTCGTCACCGCTCGACATCGCGCGCGCGTGCGGACGAGATCTCCCGCATCGTCGCGGGCGCCGGGTCGCTGAACCGAGGGTCTCTCAACCCTATACCCTAATTCCCAAACCCTAGAAAACGCCGCTCGACCGACGCCTCGGTCGTTGACGCGCGACATCGTCGCGTCGTCGACGGGCGCATGCCGCGCGCGCGCGCGCTCGAGCGCCGGTGCGTCGGACCGGCGAGCGATGTCGTGGACGTCGCCCTGGTGTGCGCGCGAGGGACGCGGGTGGAGGCGACGTACGCGTCGAGCGCGCGCGAGGTGACGACGGATGTCATCGACGTGGTACGGCGACGCTCGAACGCGCGCGCGTCGACGACGACGCGCGCGTCGACGACGACGGAGGACGATGCGAGGGAAACGATGGTGTGGGCGCGGGCGCGCGTGGGAAGGGGGGTCGCGATGGCGCGTGGGAGGGGTGGAGCGACGCTCGCGGGCGGCGGGCGGCGGACGGCGGGACGGGACGCGCGCGCGACGGCGCTGTCGTTCACGAACGATGGTGAGGGGTTAGCGATCGCGTACGATAACGGTGAGGTGGTGGTGGTCGATGCGAGCGATGGGAGTGAGATATGGGCGCGAGAGGTTGGGCGGGACGGACGCGCGGCGGCGAGCGCGCGGGCGAGCGCGGGCGAAGACGTTTCGCGCGGCGACGTGGCGGTGACGTACGATGACGAGCGCTTCGTGTACGTCGTGCCCAGGGACGCGAACGAAGTCATAAGTGCGCTGAGGCATCCGGCTCGCGTGGAGTCCATGAGCTGGCGACGGCAGAGTTTGGCGACGCTGTGTCGCGACGGCGCGATTCGACTGTGGCTGCGCGCGGAGAGGGGGCAGGGCTCGGCGCAGCTTGCGTGCACGATTCAGACTCCGTACGGTGGATTGAACCCATTGGTGTCGTTTGATTGGCTGGAGACGAGCGAAATAAGCGACGTGATGTATGATCACGCCATAATTGGTTTGGATGGAGCGTGCGGCGTCCACGTGTGGACGATTTCTGATGCCAATACGTCGCATCCACTCTGCGCGCGGCGACCGGTGGTGGCGCATCGCGGCTCGATGAGTCTAGAGAGGAAAACCATGACGGCGAGTTTCGATGACAAAGTCGTCATCAGGGGAAGTTTGACGCAGTCGAAGGATGACATTTGCATCGCCATAGCGTCACGTAATTTCGGAATTGTCGTTGCACGAGTCGATTCAAATCGACCGAATATTTTGGAACAACTACACAACGTGGCGCTGCGCGGACACGCCTCAAACATCGTTGACATGCGGGTACACTCGCAGAATGAAGAGTTAGTGACCATCGACGCGTCCGGGGTACGAAATGTGTGGAGAAGAGACCAGACGGGGGCATTGAGTGTCTCTGATGAAGCCGGTGAAGTGCCCAAGCGGGCACCACGAGACGATATCAGAGTGAAGCAGGCGTGCTCTGCTGTTGGTGCAATTGACGGAGAACTATCCGACGACGGACGCAAGCTTGCGTTTATCGATGACGCAGGTGGCTGCGCGGTCGGTGTCATTCTCAGTGAAATCGACGTGGTGATTGAACGTTTAGAAGTGGCGAACAACAACCCGGCAGTGAAACGATTTTTCAGATGGTTCGACGTTGGATGCGGTATTCACGCGTTGGCTGTCGCGATAAACACCGAAATCAGCGTGTACGCGCCGTCGACGACTGTATCAGCGTCGAAGGGTGCTTCGTGGAGATGCGTAGCGCGCGTGGCTGTCGCCGGAGATGTGGTCTCCGCTATGGAGTGGAGTCGCCTCGGCGACGCAATTTACGTGGCTACGGAGCGATCGATTCATATCGTCACGTGTGACGGAGGGTTGGCGAAGTGTGTCGTAGAGGAATCGCGGTCTTTACCGTCGTATCATCCGTGCGTACTGCTTGATTGGCTTGAGGACGGCAGAGCCGCTCGCGTGAGGAAATCCTTGCGAGCTGTCGTCGCTTACCTCAAAGCTGGTGATTTCTCTACACCATGCCCTTCGATGCTCCCTAGAGATATTATTGCTACCAATGAGTCCACGAGCGAGACGGTTGATCAAGCCCCAGATTCAACTCGAGCACCCGCACCGGTGTCAGTTCCTGAGTTTGACATGTCAGCGTTTGGCTCTTTTGGTGGTGTATCTACGACACCGACGGCAACCTTTGCGTTCGGCTCCGATGCTGAATCCACGCCAATGATGGGACTTTCGACGACGTCGCCTTCACCTCATACGAAGAGGAGCGTTTGTGATATCTTCACGCAAGAGGAGGCCGAAATTGCAACAGAGTTGGTGAGTGCTCACGCAAACACATTGCAGCTCGCGCCCACTGAGAGTGTGCGACTGCTGGGTGTCATCGACGCAGTTCGTGCGCTCGATAGTCGCGTGCATGTCCAGCTGGATGAAGCTGCGCGAAGGTTTGCGACGATCTGGCACACGCGTCGCTTGCGGCGATCAACCGACAACGAAAATCCGTGCGGTGAAGAGCTTTGTTGGGCAATTCAGAGTGCCACGACCACCGAAGTCTTGGACGATCTTACGAATGACGAATGCGGTGTCAAGGCGGATTGGCGAATAATTAAGCGGCTCGGAGTACCGATTTGGCTGCGTAAAGATGAAGATCTGCGGGTGATGATTGAAAAATGCGCCAAGGAAGAGTTTTCGAGAACAAAGAATGCGGACGACTGCGCACTCTTCTTTGTCCTCGTCGATCGTGTCAAGGTGCTCGCAGGTTTGTATAAGGCGACACAAAATATTCGTCTGTATGAGTTCATGTCCCGAGATTTCAGCGAGCAACGTCACCGTGAAGCTGCGTTGAAAAATGGGTACGCTCTGCTTTCCAAACACCGATACGAGTTTGCGGCAGCGTTTTTCATCCTCGGCGGTCAACCGCTCGATGCGGCGTCAATTGTTTGGAAGCACAAACGCGACTTGTCACTCACACTCACCATTGCTCGACTCACCGGACTCGGTGACGACGAGGCGCCGAGAGTCGGCCGCTTCCGAACGGAGGTGGCATCAATGCTCAAGAACGACGTGGTGCCCGCGATGTCAGATTCTTGGACTCTCATGGCCTTGCACTGGCTGATAGGTGAAACAGATGATTTTATCGCAACGGCGGCATCGTTGGTCGAAACGCACGATCATAAAGCAGGAGATTACGTGAAATTCATCTCCACCTCCCGTGATTGTGACTCGAATGTAGTCTCGAGAGCGCAGAGCATGGTGAATCGCGCCTCAGCAAAGTTGGCACATGCGCTCGAGTCATTGGGTGCTCCGTTGGCCGCACTCGAGAGGTTTCCATCGCATCTAACGAGATACACGGACGATGTCGCGCGACTCGCATCGGCGTCACTGTCCAGTGTCGGTCTCGCGTGCGAGATCACCGATGAAGACATCGGCGTGTTTGCACAAGCACCGTGGAACGTGAGCGTGGCTGATGTGCAAAAGCTGTTGAGACGAAGATGGGAAGTTGAAGATTTCAAGGGATTCATCGCGGAGTCGGTGGATGAGCCCACGGAGTCGTCCTCACCGACAGAGCTGCACACGAGAACGCGATCCGTCCTACCGACAGAGGTGAAAACGGTATGCATTCCTCGCGTGCCATCTGGGCAAGATTTAAGCGTCGACAGTTCGCCCACGGAGAAGGTTGCTCGCGCTCAAAACGCATTCAGTAAACTCCGAAGGTTGAGCGTGAAGATAAAGAGCCAGAGGAGCGAAAAGGGCTCACCGTCGACGCCTTCTTCGCCAACGCAAGCGATGAATCACAGTTCGTTCGGTTTGGATGACAACACGCAGCGCGTTTTTCGAACACCAGTCACCGTGGCGACCATGCAAAACGACGGCTTCTATGACATGTGCTTCAACCACGAAGTCCCCTACGAGATCGGTCTCGCCAGCGTTCGTCAAGGTTTATCCGTGGTTAACCTTCGCAAATTAAATGAAAGCAAGGCTGAATCCGAGAGCGACGCTTGGGCGGTACTCCTCCGGGCGCAACCGCCGATTTCTGGTTTCAAGTCGTCGATGAATTCTTGGTTGCATCACGACGAAACACCGTCGACGCCGACTTCGCCGCGCCACGGTAACGTTCGCGAGCACGACTGGGCCACGCATGCTGGATTGGATATGACATCGCTGACGGGAATAATCCCCCATGCACAGAGCGAGCCCGTGGGGAGAAACCGGTCAGCAATCAAGCGAGAGCCGGCGAACGACGTCGTCGCCCGAAGCGTCGCGTCGCACCCGTCCAGAAGTTTCTTCGCCGTTGGTACGTCCTACGGAGGCGTTCAACTCTGGGACTTTCACGGTAAAAACGCGGATCACGCTGCGGCGGTCCTGTCGCTCGGTGGGAAGAAATCCACCTCGGGTACGGGGGCGAGCACCCGCGCCGTGGCTTGGTCGCCTTATGGCGCGCGACTTGCAGCGTGTACTTCGGATGGAAACGTCACCTTGTGGCTCGGCGACGCCCCAGACGTTGAGCCGGCGGCAAGTAAGAATTGTGGATTCAAAGGATGCAAGAGTGAAGACGTCTTGTTCCTGTCTACCAATCTTCTGGCGACAGCGAGCTCCACGGGAAGCGTGTCCTCTGTCCTTCCCGAGTCCGTCGTGCTCTGGGACGCGCTGCAGCCCGCGCACGCATCTCCAGGGATCATCCGCGCTCACGCCGGTGGTTGCACAGCATTGTCGCAGTTCCCGTCCCTCACCGCGCCTCACGGCGTTCCTTGGCCCTTTCTCATCACGGGCGGTTCCGGCGGCGACGTTGCCGCGCACGATTTGCGCATGCTCGGCGGCGACGACGATTCCACCATCCTCTGGCGCTCTCGCCTCCCCCAATCCGGATCCATCGCCGCCATCGCCGCCATTCATCACGAGACCACCCCTCTCATCATCACCGGCGACCAATTCGGCGACGTACACGCCTACTCCGCCCTGGACGGCGACCGCGTTGCCGCCATCGCCCAAGCGCACCCGCGACAAAAATTCCTCACCCCGCGCGGCGGCGGCGCCGTCGCCTCCGTCGGCGTCGCCGCCTGCGTCCCCATTCACAACGGCGTGTTAACCGCCGGCGGTGACGGTACCGTGCGTTGTTTCCGTCTCGACGAGTCATTTAGAAGGTTGTAACGCCCGCCGCGTCCAACCGCGCGCGCCCGTCGCCGCCCCGCGCGCCCGCCGCACATCTCGACGCCATGTCCTCCGCCGCCGCGAACTCCGCGGCGTACTGGCGCATCGCCGGCATGAGCTATCTCAAGTACGCCAACGCGTGCGGAGAGATCGTGCGACAGAGCCTCAAGGAACCGTTCCTGAGCCAGGTGCGGGACGACGACGGACGCGAAGGATGGCGATCGAACGAATCGCACCAGATCGCTCGAGTTTTCCTCTCGTGCGCGCGCGGTGACTGACGAAAACGCGCGCTCGGGGAACGACGGAACGCAGGCAAAGGCGAGAGAGACGGTGTACTACAAGATGACGGAATTTGCGAGCGGGAAACCGGGGAAAGCGGGTGCGTCGGGCGATCGCGGAGAGACGTAGGGCTTGGGCGCGAATCGCGCGCGGACGAACGACGAAGAGACGCGCGCGACGACGGACGAGGCGATGAAAGATAGACGAATGACTGACAGAACGATGCGTGTCTCGATCGATGACGCAGTGATCACGGAGGTGGTGCCCAAGTGAGTCTCGTGCGCCCGAACGAACGCGGCGCGTGTATCCTAGTTTGTTTTAATCAAAACGTCGGAGCGACGAATGGAATCGATTGGCGTCGATGCGACGCGCACCGCGCGTAGATTTACAAATTTCACGACATCCTACCGATGACGATCGGATCGGGCGCGCATCACGCGCCCGGCGTCCGGAACGCGCGTACGTTTACGCGCCGTTTCGCTTGCAGCTCAAAACCAGCTCGGCAAACTTCTCGCACCGCGCCACGTCGTCTCCGGCGTCCGCGACGCATCGTTCAAACGCCCTCGACGCGCTCGCGCACGCGGATGACGTGGATTCGCCCTCGACCGCGCCCTGGCCGCCGCCGCTCGAGCCGAACATGGTCCCGAAGGCGGCGCGGCCCAGGCTCGAGCCCATGCCCCACGAGACGCCTTGGGCCAACGTGCCCATTAAACCACCGCTGAGGGACGGTTCGTTAGATCTCGCGGTGCGTTGGGGGGGCGGGGCGCCGCCGAACCCGCGCGGGGCGCTTCGGGGGGGCGGGGCGGAGCGTCGACGGCCCATGGCGAGGGATGAAGTGAGGCGGGGGGAGGAGCGACGACGTCGACGCGCGCGGTTGGTTCAATGTGTTGTACTACATGTGTGATGAATAACGCGTGCGGGTGGATAAAGATTGCGTCGCGACGCGCGCTCACGCAAACGCCTGCGCGGTGGTACCGGTGGATTCGTCGTTCGGGAACGATGGGAAATCGCCGCCGCGCCGAGGCGGAGCGTCGTCGGACGCGTCGTCCTCAATGCCGGAAGCAAATTCGACGGAAAATTCGCGAGACATCGTGCTCGTAGCCGTAGAGACGGTTATGATATCAGCGTCCTCGTCGTAATCGAACGTGACGGTATCGCCCGAGGAGGCGAAGCCGTCGAGCATGCACTCGGCCAAGTTGTTCTCCAACAAACCGCGGACGCATCGACGCATCGGTCGGGCGCCAAAGCGCGTGGAGAATCCGTTGGCATACAGCACAGATCTGAATTTCGGGGAGAATTTGAGGGAAATTCCCTTACCGGCCGCTCGTTTTGCCACCGTGTTCAGCATGATGTCGGCGATCTCGCTCACCTCAGTCTTTTGCAGAGGCTTGAAGACGACGATTTCGTCGAGGCGGTTGAGAAACTCGGGTCGATACTCGCGTCCGAGCTCGCGCTTCACCTTGGTTTGAAGCGCCTTGTACTTGGCTTCCTCGTCGCCCTCTCCCGTCATGGAATCTAAAATCTCTCGACTACCGATGTTGCTCGTCATGACGAGCATAGCGTTCGTAAAATCCACCGTTCGACCCTTGCTATCCGTCAGGCGACCATCCTCCAAGACTTGGAGCAAAATATTGAACACATCTGGATGTGCCTTTTCAATCTCGTCCAGAAGCACGAGCGAGTGCGGATTCGTGCGCACCGCTTCGGTGAGTTGACCGCCCTCCCCAAAACCGATGTACCCGGGCGGTGGACCGATCAATCGACTCACCGAGTGCGATTCCATGTACTCGCTCATGTCGATGCGTACCATCGCCTTCTCGGCGCCGAAGTACGTTTGCGCGACAGCCTTGGCAAGCTCCGTCTTTCCCACACCAGTGGGACCACTGAAAATGATGCTAGCGACCGGCTTCGACGCATCCGCAAGTCCGGCTCGGGCACGGCGAATCGCTTGGGAGATCGACCGCACGGCTTCAGCTTGACCGATGACGCGCTTTCCGAGCTCTTGCTCGAAATTCATCAGCGTCCTTGACTCGTCGGCGCTGAGCTGTTGCACAGGAATGCCCGTCCACTGCCCGACGACCTCGGTGACGTGCGTCTCATCAACAATATTTGAACCGTTAGCGTTGAGTTGCACGAGTGCCCCAGCCTCGTCGATGACATCGATAGCCTTGTCTGGCAAGAAGCGATCGTTGATGTAACGTGTCGCCAGAGTGACGGCGGCGCTGAGCGCCTCGTCCGAGATGGAGACGCCGTGATGCTCCTCGTACGTGGCGCGCAAACCTCTCAAAATTGTGAGAGACTGCTCTGGACTCGGTTCATTTACGCGCACGGGCTGAAATCGCCGCTCCAAGGCGGCATCCTTCTCGATGTGTTTCCTGTACTCGTCGATGGTTGTCGCCCCGATGCACTGCAGCTCGCCTCGCGCCAACGCGGGTTTCATCAGGTTACCGGCATCCATGCCGCCGTCTTCGCCCGTCCCGCCCGCGCCGACGAGCATATGAATCTCGTCTACGAATAAGATGATGTCTCCTGCCGCTTTGACCTCCTCCAGGACGTTTTTCATCTTTTCTTCAAACTCGCCTCGATATTTGGTGTCCGCGAGGAGCAATCCGAGTTGTAGGCTCACGACGCGCTTATTCTTCAGCGACTCCGGGACGTTCCCACTGGCGATCATCGTCGCTAAGCCCTCCGCGATGGCTGTCTTCCCAACCCCGGGTTCGCCCACGAGACACGGATTAGACTTGCGTCTTCGCACCAAGATGCGCATCACTCGCGTCACCTCCTCGTCTCGCCCCAATACGGGATCCAATTTCCCCTCTCTCGCCTCCTCGGTGAGATCGATCGAGCACTCTTTCAGAGTCTGCTTCTTCGCCTTTCTCGTCTTCTTCCCAGCTCCCACGAGTTCGCGCTCGTTCGCCCCCGAGACCTCCTTCCTGAGCACCTTTACGTCTGTCCCCATCGCCTTGAGCGTCTCGTTCGCCCCGCACGAGACGTCATCAATCATCGCCAACGCCAGCTCCTTACTCCCGACCTCCGTCGCCGAGGACGAAGCCCTTTCAAAAACCATCTTTAACTCCTCACTCAGCGGCAACAGCCCCTCCGGCCCCGCTGATTTTTGTCCGCCGAACGACATCATCGCCTTCAACCCGCCCGCCCCGCTCTCCGACACATCCACGTTCCCATTCCGCCCCATCGACGCCCGTCGAGTCGCCTCCTCCGTGACACCAAACTTCACCAACGCCTTGGACGTCCGATCCCGTCCCCGCGTGAGCGCTATCAACACGTGTTCGCTTCGACACGTCGGCGCGCCCAGTCGCTTCGCCTGATCCATTCCGTCTCGCACCGCCACCACCGCGTCGCCGTCGAACGTCTCGAAGAACCCAGCGCGCGCCGTGCGTCGCCACCGCGCGCATCGCCCGACGCGCGGTCGCGTCGGGACCACGCGCGCGCGCGGTCGCGCCGAACGCATCCCGCGCCGGTCGGTGACGTCGACGTCGCGGTCCACCGGTCGATTATACCTTTCGATCGCGCCGCGGACGCCTTTCGACGCCTTTCGACGTGACACACGACGCACCGGTCGACGCACCGGTCGACGCCCCACACGACGCCCCGGTCGATGCGCGCGTCGTCGTCGGCGCCCCGCGCGCGCGCGCGCGACGTCGACGCCGACGCGATCGCGGTGATCGAGCTCGCGCACGCCCGGACGTCGAACGCGCTCGATCGCGATGGGTTCGAGGCGTTGAAGCGGGCGTGCGAGACGATCGAATCGAATCGCCGAGCGCGGTGCGTCGTCGTGCGCGGCGCGGGCGGGAACTTTAGCTCTGGGTTAGATTTGTCGACGGCGAATGCGATCTTGGACGCGAGGACGGCGGACGGGTGCGCGGGACGGGCGAACGAGGCGTTGATGCGAACGATCGAGGCGATGCAGGCTGGGGTGTCGGCGCTCGAGCGGATGTCGGCGCCGTCGATCGCGTGCGTCAGCGGAGTGTGTTTTGGCGGTGGCGTGGACGTGATAACGGCGTGTGACGTGAGAATCGCGAGCGAGGACGCGCGGTTTTGCGTCAAAGAGGTGGATTTGGGATTGGCGGCGGATTTGGGGACGCTGCAGCGGTTGCCGACGATCGTCGGACACGGACGCGCGATGGATCTCGCGCTCACGGCGAGAACGATCGACGCCAGGGAGGCACTGGCGATTGGACTCGTGACGGAGGTCGTCGCCGACGTCGACGCGAGGGGGATGGAGTTGGCGAGGGAGTTGGCGAAGAAGTCGCCTCTGGCGCTTCGCGGGACAAAGCGCGTCCTCTTGCGAGCGAGAGACGACCCAAACGTGGCTAAGGGGTTAGATTACGTCGCCGCACACAACGCCGCGATGCTGAGGAGCGATGACCTTTCCGAGGCCCTTCGCGCGCGCGCGGAGAGGCGTCCTCCAGTGTTCTCAAAGCTCTAACGCGTGTATTGTAAAAATGTGTCCATTCGCGTCCCACGTTGGCGCCGTACTTCCTCAACCACCGACGCGGCGCCCTACGTCTTCGGCCACTCGTACATCGCCCGATCGACCGGAACGAGCATGCCGTGCGCGTGCAGACTCACCGTCGACGGATTTCTCACGAGATCGAACGCCAGGAGCTCCATGTCGTCGTCCACGTACGTCCTTCCGTCGCCGCGCACCTCCAACCCGCTCCACGACCGCGTCGACGCCCCCAACAGCTCCCCACGCTCGTATATCGCCAAAACCTCCCGACCCATCGCGTTTTCGAGCAACACCTCGACGTAGCCGTACAACTCCTTCCCGTCGTCGCTCCAATACGTCTCCACGACGCGATGCGACGTCTCTCTCCCATCCGTCCCGCTCGCGTCCCTGAACCGCACCGCATCCGACGCCCTCGGGTGTTCCAACCGTCCGTACGCCCGTCCCGTCTTCACCCTGAGCGCGTCGTACGCCGACACCTCTCGCGTCAACGTCTCCCGCGGGTACACGCGTCCGTTTCGATTCACCCCATCCGCCCGCGCGAGCGTCCCGTGGAGCACGAACGTCGCGTTCGATCGACTCCTGAGCGCCGCCGTCGCGATCGCCGCCCGCGTCCGTCGCGCCGTCGCGTCCTCGTCCGCCAGCGCGCGCTCGACCGTGTGCACGGAGACGCACACGCCCATGGTTTCGTCTTCACGTTCACGTACACGCCAGCGCCCCCGCACTCGCGCGCCCGCCGCGACCGCGCGCGTCGATCGCCCGCGCCCCGCGCGCCGG